GCGGATGAAAGCTTCGTAGGCCCAATGCCATGGGTTCAGACAGTAAGATTTGGTAATGGGCCTAATCTCGCTTTATTCTTTCCTCGTGTTCTTTTCACTTTTTCTTCTTGTCTGCACCATATTAAGTTGTGCTGACAGGAGTAAACATTATAAAAGTTATTATTACCAAATGTTTCTGTCTGAACCCACAGCATAGACCATATGATTATGAATGTGGGTTTCTGTGGGCTAAAAGAAAAAGAAAAATGTTATGTAAATGTCATGCTCATGATACTGAGATAAATAGTTAGCTATAAATAGTCAAATACTGTAAATAGTTGATTAACTCTGGTAATTTAGTGATTTATACACGAGACAAATGCAATAAAAAATGGGTCCTAATCCATTAGCCACCTTTGTACTGTCATGGCTTCATGTGCTACTCCAGTACAGTTGGTGGCGGTAATACGGCAATTGATAGTTTAGCAGCATTCATAGATTTAAACATCAAAACCAACTTTTGAGTGTAAAATTCTCACCTGATCGCTGAAGGAAGGTTGTGGGGAATCGAGACCAACAGCGTCAACACTGGAAACAACTCACGAGCAGCAGCCAACTGATTACGGAGTAGAAAACAAAAGGATACAAATGATGCTTCCATGAGTCAAGAAGTTGGAGAAAGGCAGAGGACATGAGCTGGTCAATGACTGGGTCAGGATGCATTATCTTGATGATATGTATGAAGAGGAACGAATGGAGGAAGAAGGAAGGGAGAAGGGTATAAGTACAGGATTATTATAAATATAAAAAAGAGCTTGGAGGAAAGTAGTTCTGAAGAAAATGAGCAAACGGTTTGGAGAAAGGGGAAGAATTTAAAATCATCGCTGTGTTTAGGAAGGAGTATGAACACATAGGCCTAAGTCCAATTGCACTGACCATGGAACTAAAAAAACTGATAAATGGGTGAAATAGGACATTCTAAATCCTTGGTTTCAAAAATACTTTGTGAAGGAAACAATGAGAAAATGTAGAAAAGAGGAACAAAGGAATAAAGCGTTAGTTATTGGAAATATATGCAAAAAGACTGAAATGTTCATTAAATGTTTTACAGAAAAACATGATCAAACACCTTCACTGTAAAATAAAAAGATTTTAAAAAATGCGACAGCTGCTGAACAAAAAATGTAAAATAAAGGTTTAATGGTACTTCCTGGATTACTACTTCACTGTAAAACAGTTAATGGTTAGCTAGCAATAACACACATGCGTGAGCTAATGTATAGACATCATTAGTAGTGACTCAGTTACTGCATTTAAATAAAGCAACATGCAACATAACATCAGTGCATTTTAGTCCATCCTAGAATGAAGAACAGGCTCTACTCTTCAGCACAACAGTAATCCACAAAACTAAGGCAACAGAACCAGAAACCCTTTAAATCCCAACAAAACATTAAACACACGGATCTCTCAAGATCTAGCACAGAATGATTAAACAACTCCACAAACAGCATTACCAGCTTCACTTATTACTAAAATACATACAAAATTAACAGAGGTTTAAACATTGAAGTTTTATTAAAAATAATAAAGTTACCCATGATGGAGGTCAGCGTTTGCTTTAGTTGGGCCCTTGACCCTTAACTTTCTAACATTAGTTTTTCTCCTGTTTCTTAAGCAAAAATACAAGAAAAACTTTGATTGGGTGATATTTGCTACTTGTTGGTGATGATGTGGTCATCGTGGCCTGATTAACTGACACCACCCAGAGTCTGATTTCTGATTGAACAGTTTGGTGGTAATTAGTCATTTCACACTGGAGTACTGAAGTGCTGTGACATTTTGAAAGACTTAGTATGTTAGTATGTAGAAAATGTTTTGACAGAGTCTTTTTTTACTTTACAGTGAAGGTGTTTGATCATAATAATTCAAGAAATACTTGTAAAATAACAGTGTTTTTCTGTTAAATATTTAATGCAAATTACTGTAAAAGTTTTTACACTATTTAAAATAGGATATTTTACTTCAATTTTACAGTTTTTGTTTGGCAGCCGTTGCTGCCAGTCATTTGACTGTTTATTATTATTATTATTTTATAGTGAAGGTGTTTGATTGCAATAATATAGGAAATACCTAAAATAACAGTGTTTTTCTCTAAACATTTAATAAAACAAAAAAAATATTCTGTTAAGGCTTTGCACTTTATTTAAATTGGGATTTGACTTTAATTTTATTTTAATTTTACTGTTTGAGTTTGTTTGTATTTTTTAACAATTTTCTGTTTGTTTGTTTGCTTGTTTGTTTTGTTTTACAGTGTGAGCAATGGTGCCATCTGCACCATCTGGTGGTGATTTCACAAATTATTATCGCCATTATTTTTGTAATTTTACATACACTTTTATGTAATTTGAGAAAACAGAAAAATACTCTATACTCTATAAATAGTACAGTATTTTTCTTTATAGAAAATAGAATTACTGTAATGTGTCTTTAATGCCATAATACTTAAAATATCAACTTTTCTAATTCGTTTATTAAAGGTATCATCTGCATTCAGGAAATTCGTTTGAAACCATTATAAAACTTTATAATAACAGGCTATGATAGTATCCGATACAGAACAATGGTCATGGGGGGACTATAGAATATAATAGATCTTTACTGCCATTGTTTTGAAAAGAACAAAAGACTATTTAGGAGTTCACAAGGATTGGCAGAATGGTAATATAAATATAAAGATAGAGATTAACAGAATAGAAATGGAAATAAATATAAATATAAAGGAGAAAAGGGTGTGTTACGTTTATTAAAGGAGGATGTGTTACATTTATTAAACAGAATATACATTACAAGGTAAAGGTCAAAAGAAAAGAACTGGAATTTATCATAACAGACATTTGTACAATTAAAGGTAATATTAAAATAACAAATTATTATAATCCGTGCAAGAAACTATTTTTGGAGGATCTGTTAATACCCTTAGATTGTATGGTTGTTTGATTGTGGAGATTTTATTGGTCAAAATACATCATGGGATAATTATGATGATATGAATGGAGAAGTTATAGAAGAATTAATCGATAGAAATATCTAGTAGCTATGTGTTAACAATGGAGATGGTACTAGAATAAGTGTTACAAATGAGAAAGAGACAACAGTGAATATCACAGTTGTTCCTGAATCTGTAGCAGTGGTATGTTGGTGGAAAGATAAAGAAAGCACGATACGAAAGTGACCATTATCCAATTTTAATAGAAACTGCTTGATGATACAAGTTTGTGAAAATGGTAGGAGTGGGGTAATTTGAGCCAAAAGTCATTTCGAGCCAATGGCTCAGGTAGCTATTATTTTACTGTAAATATACGTTGCATTTCAAGAATATCAAACCAAATATATTTCATGTTGTTCTTTGTTTTGAACTTGATTTTGTTCTGTTGATTAGCCTTGTTGAAGAAAATTGACCATTAAAGTGGGATGTTGAATATTAGCCTGGTTCTGTGAGGTTAATTGCAGTCACTTGAACTTTATTTTGTTCTGAAATTTTAAAACAAGCCTTATTGAAAAAGCCTTTAAAGTTGTAGACTTTGTCCTTATTGGTTGGCCAGTACATCACAAGGCTCACACACAGATTTAAAGAAGTTATTTGTTTTCATTTGATAAAACATTTTTTCTCAAAATTATTCTCAAAAGAGAAGATTAAGAAAGAGCTAAAACTGAAATTACATGGTCAAGAGATAGAAAAATTCGAATGTTGTAAGTTTTTATGTTTGTAGTTTGACTAGAAAAATACACATTGAGAAAATTATTGGTAAACGCAAACAAGTACTGGATTCAATGAGTTGCTTGCAAGGACCGGGGGAGCTGAGAGGTCGGCTCTGAATATATGAACTATAATGAACTAATACTATTAACACTTGATTATGGATGTATAGTATTTCAGTTCAACAAAAAGCATTAGGTTATTAACAGGGGCTATAAGATCCCAACTGCAGATGTAACAGGAGAAATGCCCTTAGAATGCAGATGCCATAAATTACTGGGTCAGGACATAATCAAGATCATCCAAAAGCCATAAAACAATGCTGAGAGAAAGAAAAGATGCAAAAACAAAAGTACCTAAAATAAATGGAAATAAATGAATATTCCAGCAGTACCATGATCAGTAATTCACCAATAGTTAATACCACAACCCACATGAGACTGTTCATGAGAAATTCAAAACAATAGTTATGTTCATATATATTAAGATGCAGTAGTAGGTGTGGCATTCACAGGACAAGATTTTAATGTCAAAATCAATTAAAGAATTTCAGATCATCTATATCAGTACACTGGAGAATTGATTGCAATCCCAGTGGCATTACAGTGGGTTGAGGAGAATAGACCACTGAGAACATGTTCTGACTCAAGTTAATCTTTAATGACATTAGAAAGAGGTACAGAAAGCAGAGCTGATGTGCTGATTGAGATCCGTCAGACAACATACAGGATACAGTCGATAAAATGCCGTTTTTAATTAACATGTGAAGGAAGATGATGGTTTTATAAAGAAATGTTTGTAAAGGTAGAATAACAAGGAGAAATAGAATTTTTTTTTTTTTATAAACTTAGATTTTAACATACTGCACTTAATAATACCTCGAATGAAATAGGGAGACATAAGACAGGAACATTTGAAAATTGTAATCAAGACGAAACCATAGAGCACTTTATGATAATGAAGAAAATTATTGATTTCCAGCTTTAAAAACTGAGTTGACAAACATTTCACAAAGGAGTTCACATGATGAATGATTAACATTTTCAATGCAGTATCTGAAAAAGACAATTAAATTCAGAAATAAGAATTAAGGAGCTAATATGAATAAGGTTGTACGAGCTTGACCCACACTACTGCACAGCAGGTGGCACTAATGCACCTGAAAGTTGTGCCATAAAATATTAAGAAGAAGAAAAAAGCGATCATCCATGTATGTATATAAACAGTTGGTGGCGGTATGTGCCTACGGTGCGGAATACGCCAAAAATTCCAAAGAAGAAGAAGAAGAAGAAAAGCGGCAGAATAAACGCGTGGTGTACTGTCTTATGGAAGTTTGTTCGCTATTGATTTTTGTATTTGAAGGACAGAAATGAGCGAAAGTCCTCTAACTTCATCAGTGTCAAAGGTAACATTGAGCAGACATTAATTCATTAATCCTTACGTGGCTGAAGTAATTTGGTTAGAGTAATGATATTAATACATTTATGATACATATAGCCTATACACATAATGATACATATCCAGACTTATAGGTTATGTTTTTCAGGGATGTTTTGTTTTTAAGTCAGCCTCTAAAAAGAGAAAGCGACATGTAGGAGTTGGTGAGTAATTATAATCATTATTATCGCTTTACAAATACTTATCTCCATTATCAAGCATTTTCGTTTTTTTTATTGGCATGTAGGTGGATATCTGGTGGATGATAGTGACGATAACGGCAACGATCGCTTTAGGATCTGTCAGAAATTATGGGAAACTGTTCAAATGAACACCGAGGTAACGTTAACTTACATCCTTCTCTGCGTCTGCAACCTCTTTATCTAACCCATTAATATGTTCGTCTATTAACCCAGTTAAGCCCACCGGCAACTATAGTTGCCGCAGTTTATAGTTGTCATTTTCCTTTTGTAAGTATTTTTCTAGATGCTATCCATTTTTAGGACTTTTGTCAGGGTTAATCAATTTGACCTAATCAATATGTGCCTATTCATAAAATATGTGATATTTTACATAAAGTATAGTATGCAAATATGTTTATGTAAATTTATAAAACTGCTTGTACCTTCACTGCATTACTCCTTGTAGGCTACTTGTAGACTACTTATACTAAAACTGCTTATGTAAGAGAAAGTTCACCCAAAAATGGAAATTGTCATCTTCAAGTTGCAAACCTATGAGATTCTTTCTTCTGTTGAGCACAAAAGAAGATATTTTGCAGAATGTTGGTAACCAAACAGTTAAATGCATAATTTTCTTTCAGGTATACCTTTTTTATTTTATAGATGTAATATTTTCGTCATTCTATTTATTTTTATTCATTTATTTTCATTTAACTTTTTGATACACAATACCCTGTTGGGGCAACTTAATGGTTGCACTTTGTTCTGCACTATGTTCCACCACTTTAAGACAAATGGATTTGCTGTGTTATCATATTCAAGAGATTATAAGCTAGATGCAACGTTTTTGGGGTTTGCATCGAATGTTCTTTGACTTTTATGCATAATAAATTTGTTTATGAATAAAGATTGATCTGTTGAAAGCAGTTATTTTGAGGTAGATGCCAAATGCTCTCCTCCTATTCAAATTTGACATTGAAGTGGTGCATACAACATATTTGCCCACCGGCAAATATAGTTGCCGCACATTCAAATACGATTTTCAAGAAAAAAACTAAAACCTGGGAAAAATAAATGCAGAACATGTTCACATAGGACACTATTAATATGACTATATGCATGAAACATTCAGAAAAATTTGGGCACAAATGGGTTAATACGTTTTTTTTCCCTTTATAAATATATTTTTTCACAGGCAATACAAGATCAGTTGAATAAAAAGGTACTTGACAGTCTTGCAGAGTTCATTAAAAAGCATGGCCTCGGCTGCTCATCTGATGTCTGGAGACAGAGAGCCAGTGAAATCCCCACAGCTGCTCTGATGCTGGGTATGGCCTGATTCTTATCCTAAGACTGCTGTCACTGTTTTATTTTACTTATTTATTTTCCAGCACAACTTTTGTATAATGCACATAGCTCCAAGAGTTGAATATTTAGAAAACTGAAACTAGGTCAGGGTTAATGCAAACCAATTTGTTTCAAATGAAGCCTGATTTGTGAAAAAGTTCACAATCATATATGGTCACATTTGGTAAACTGCTTTATCCTTGGATCCTTTTAATCTTGGCAATAGAATCAGCATTGGCTAGCAAAATTTTTATTTTTTTGCTAAAATTCTCTCTCTCTCTCTCTCTCTCTCTATACACATACACACACACACAGAGTATTATGAGGATATTGAAATAAGTTGCAAAAAAAGTGTTGTTGTACTATAACAGATATATAACTCTTTTCTTATAAAAAAATTAACCTGATACATATTTGTGTATTTCTTTATTGTATTTAAATGTTTTAAGCAAACAAATGTTTCAAACATATTAAAGCGCAAAAGAATTATAAAGAACAATAAGTAACACTTTGTGACAAATGGCTACATTGGTTACATTAGTTGTGTTAAAAATACAACTGAGCTTTGTTAGATCCATTAAATAATACAGTTACGGCCGTTGATTTTTGAATAATAAAAAACTATTCACTGTATTTTGAAGTGCCCAAGATAACAATATCATGCATGTTGATCATCGTGATATGTTATGGTATATTGGCACATTCTTAATGAAATGATAGGTATCACAGGAAGTGCGATATCTCGACTCATCCTCTCTAGTGGTAGGCACAGGTCAGTACAATAGTAATTTGAAGAGTTGTGATGGAAAAAACATTGGTACATACAGCACAGCCCCACTATTGGCTCTGTCTATTATTGACCTCTGTAAAACCTTTTACTGTCATTTAGGGGTAAATGTGCCAGATCATGCCATGACATTTCGAAGTCTGTGTAATCTCCTTCAGGATTCTGTCACACCGCTTGTGGTGTCTGTTCATGCCAAAGAATGTGCAGGTGTGTATTTTTGCGCATGTGAAGCATTTCAGATTATATACATCTCAATCTGTGCAGAGTTTGCTCTTATATAAATCTCAGTGGAAGATTGGATAGACAAGCTTTATTCTCTACCCATCTCTGCAAAATAACCATATATGGAGCTTACAATGACTAGCCTCATGATGCATAGCCTCATCTGCATAAAATTTGCATATTTTCATTCAAATGTGATAATCATGTTTTACAGTAATCCTGTAGTTCTGTATATAACACTTTTTGACAGCTGTGAAGCTCTTGATTCAGAAGGTTCTAGAGCAGCTGATGGGAAGAGGAGTGTCAGTGGATGAAGAACAGGAAGATGATACAGCTTTGCTTCAAAGGACACAGTGTACTATTAGTGCTCTATGTCAGTGGTACAAGACTGTTACCAAGGTAGGAGAAGACAAGAGAACATAAACTATGCTTACCTACAGTAGAAAGACCTGTTTATATTTTGAAAGAATACATTTTGGGGTACTTACTGCTGAAAGGGTCTTGGTCCATGGTAATGTAATCTCAAGATGATGCTCTTTGATTGTTTCTTTTGTAAATTATATTCTTTTTAATGTAATTGTACTGTATGTAATTGAAGTTCTAAGTAGGATAAAATGCTTATTTCAGATTTAAAATCTTAAAGCAAACAATGTTTGGTAAGTTCTAGTAGAAATTTGAAAGAGATCCTGTGCTGTTATTTACTTAACTTTGGTGTGCCAAGCTACTTTAACAATCAGAATAATTGGTCTTTTGCAGAAATGCACCCAAGTTTCTCCACAAAGGAATGAAAACTTGACAAATAGTGACTTGCCTCAGAATTTGCCTGTTGTCGTGATCTTCAAAGACTTTGAGGCATTCAACTCACAAGTTTTACAGGATTTTATCCTTATTTGCAGGTGGGATTTGTGTAGTAAAATGTGCAATAGCAGTATGTGAAGTGTGATAGAATAATATTGTTACAGTGTTTTCTTTCTTCAAACTCTTGCCATCAATTCAGCTCCACCTCCTTATTTTATGGATTTTTTTGTAGATTCTTTTTTACACACTGTCTACATAGACATTGCAATATCACAAGTAAATTGCTTCCATTACAATCAGCAAAGCAGTTTTCAATATAAGCCTTACAAAGTGGTTTCAGTTGATGGATAACCCATTTTCGTTTTTGAAAAGCTGCACAGATTCTCCCTTTTCATTTCTTTTCTTTCGTTACAAAGTTTGTAGGTTGAAATGTTGATTGTCAAGGCCATGGCAAATCTCTGAAGCATCATTTAAATAGAACCTAATACCTGAGATCACTCAATTTTAAGATAACTTTCTTTTGCATGCCTTGAAAGCAGTGGTATATCCTGTTTTGTTTTTGTTTTTTGCAGGAAATGCTAATAATGTTGCATGCCTGAAATTGAAAAGTGGATCTAATCATGGTCTGAAAATCCTTAATCTTTTTTTTTTAATCTTATTAACAGTCGATACACTCAGGAGCTTCCATTCATCTTTATTTTTGGCATTGCCACGTCTCCCAGTGCTATTCAGCACAGGCTTCCCCACTCGGTGTCATCATTGCTCTGTATTGAGGTCTTTCATTCTCTCTCATGTACTCAGCATTTAGCCTCTGTTTTTGACAAGGTAAATAACCATTGCGATTTGTAATGCAAGTTAATGTCAACAATTTTATTCCATATGTTCTTCTGATGCCATTGTTTGTTTTTCATAGCTCATTCTGAAATCTCAGTTCCCATTCAAGCTCAGCAGTAGGGTGATACAGGTGCTGGTTGGCATCTTCCTCTACCATGACTTCTCTGTTCAGAATTTTGTTAAGGGCCTACAGGTGAGCTGTCAAGTTTTAGTTTTTCCCGATGGCCTTTCATCGTGGCATGTGCAGTGTTTTTTTTGTTGCTTTGGAATGTTATTGAGAAACAAACATTGGTGCTACTTATTTGTCTTTTTTGCTTTCTGCTATTGAAGCATACCTTTTTCATTATTATGGAGATTATTATGAAATATTTAATTATTATGAAAGAAGCCAAAACTTAAATTTTGAAAGTTACGTCTTCAGTTAATATATGTGAGCATTATAAATGATTCCAAAATCCCATCACTGCAGTAAATTTCAGGAACAAACAGACACATGGCAGTTGTATCACTTCATCTACATGAGATATTTGTGCTTGGACAGATGATTGAAACTCAATTTTGGATTTAAAATATGGCTTTTATGTAAATCAGTTTTTCCATTGTAATAAGTACTACCAAGTTTTCAAAACTTCTGCAAGCATAAAGGATGATGCAGTCATGTGACCTCAATAATAATGTACTTTGTTACAAATTAATATATTGTTATGCTGTTTAAAACATTATAATTAATGTGAAGGTGGATGTGATGTGAGAATGTTTAAAGGAGACCTATTATGCTCCTTTTTACAATATGCAATATAATTCTCAGGTGTCCCCAGAATGTGTCTGTGAAGTTTCAGCTCAAAATACCCCACAGATCATTTATTATATCATTTTGAAAATTCCTATCTTGTGGAAGCAGAAACATGCCGTTTTCGTGCATATCTCTTTAAATGCAAATAAGCTGCTGCTCCCCGCCCCCTTTTCCAGAATAGGGCTGTGCCTTTACAGCTCGTACCTCAGATATTCTGCCAAAAAACATCTGTTTGGTTTTGATTGTCATGTCTATCGCGCTGAAATCATGCGTTTTAATCCAAATTAGTTTAAACTTCTTATATACGGTGCACACATTCGAAGCACGCACACGGCATGAGAGTACTAAACAAAGTTCTCTTTCATGTCTTATTGCACTTAAACTGTCAAATACACGTTTATGTCACTGAACTTGCGACACAAACACAACAGAACCGCTAGATTTAAATCGGCACAGCCAGTGAAGGATCGAATGCAACTGTTTTGAACGAGCGCTCCTTTTTTTAACAAACAAAAAGTGGTTGTTTCATTGTCTGTTGAGGAAGTACAGTCATTCCTCTCGTTGATGGCAGAGGAGCGGATCCAGCGAGAGCTTGATGGGGTGACGCGGAATGAAAAAGTTTTTCAGGAGTCGCGGCAATAGAGGCGGCGCAACTATAACGACATGTGAATAATCCTGCCCACTCTAAAGCGATACTAAACTGCAGTGGAAACGCAAACCGAGCCGAGCCGTGCCGTGCCGTGCCGAGTCGTACCATGCAGTGGAAAAGCGCCATAAACTGTTCTGTGCTCATCAGTGCAGCCAAAGACAGAACAGTTAGCATGCTTTACTTGAACTTTCGCCATGGCATTAGAACTGGTACACCGTTGACCGCTGTTGCTTGCGAAAACAGAATGGTGGCACCATGGGTGAAAACTTGCAGATTAAAGGGCGGTAATATTATAATAAGTTCCCCATTCTACGTCACGGGGAGAGCGAAATCTGAGTGGCTCGTTTTTTCACAAGCTTGCAGAGAAAGGCTTACCAGAAAAAATTTACTGGGTTCTTTTTTTTCACGTTTTTTGGGTTGGTAGATGCATCAGGGACACAATTATAGCACTTAAAAAAAGAAAAAGTCCGATTTTCATGACATGCCACCTGATGATATGCCATATGGAATATGGATATTTTGCCAGCACTCTAATGCAGTGGTTCCCAACCCTGGTCCTGGAGGCACCCCAACACTGCACATTTTGCATGTCTCCTTTCTCTGACACACCAGTTTCAGGTCTTGGAGTCTCTACTAATGAGCTGATGACCTGAATCAGGTGTGTTTGATTAAGGAGACATGCAAAACGTGCAGTGTTGGGATGCCTCCAGGATCAGGGTTGGGAACCACTGCTCTAATGAAACCCTTCTTCTTACAGTTCTCCATGTTGGAGCACTTTAATAGCCAGCCTCTCAGCGTGCTTTGAATAGAGCTGCGCCATTACAGCTCAGACCTGCTAAAAACATCTGTTATGGTTCTAATTATCATGTTTATCGCGCTGAAATCATGCGTTTTAAACCATACAAGTTTAAACTTCTTATATACAGTTTTCTGAGTGCACACATCTGAAGCACACGGAAAGAAAGTGGCTGTCACAGCATGTGAGTACTCAACCAAGTTCTCATTCACACACAAGTTTACGTTAAAAACACACGAGTTAAAAAAACAGACTGTGAAGGTAAAGAACTGGGAAATAAATTGCATGTTTATTTTAGATCTGTGTGGCAGCAGCAATATACATTAAATCAATAAATCCACTGCTCTCTTGTCTCCTCTGAGGCTGGGACTCTAAATAGTGTTCTGTGCTCGTCAGTGCAGCCAAAGACAGAACAGTTAGCATGCTTTGCTCTAACTTTCGCCATGGCGTTAGAAATGGTACACCGGTGTCGATTGTGAAAATGGTGGAGCCGTTTAAGAGGTGGTAATATTATAATAACAACTCCTATCTGAGTGGCTCGTTTTTTCACAAGCTTGCAGAGAAAGGCTTACCAGAAAAAATTTACTGGGTTCTTTTTTTTTCACGTTTTTTGGGTTGGTAGATGCATCAGGGACACAATTATAGCACTTAAACACAGAAAAAGTCCGATTTTCATGACATGCCACCTGATGATATGCCATATGGAATATGGATATTTTGCCAGCACTCTAATGCAGTGGTTCCCAACCCTGGTCCTGGAGGCACCCCAACACTGCACATTTTGCATGTCTCCTTTCTCTGACACACCAGTTTCAGGTCTTGGAGTCTCTACTAATGAGCTGATGACCTGAATCAGGTGTGTTTGATTAAGGAGACATGCAAAACGTGCAGTGTTGGGATGCCTCCAGGATCAGGGTTGGGAACCACTGCTCTAATGAAACCCTTCTTCTTACAGTTCTCCATGTTGGAGCACTTTAATAGCCAGCCTCTCAGCGTGCTTTGCTGCCAAAAACAAGAGGCCTTGCTTTCTGCCAAGACATTGAGCAAACAAAACGTTGAACGAATCCGCCATCTACCCTCGTTCATGAGGTATACACATCAATGTTCACTCCAGTAAAGGGATTCAGTAACAGTTATATAGCTACACACTTAAGTGAACGTATGTCTTTGTAGGTATGTGGAGACTCAGGAGCCCCAGGAACAGGTGCAGCTCCTTACCAATGATGAACATGTCAAGGTAACATTATTATTCCACAATAGTCCATGTAATTGACTAAAAGATCACAAATCTAAAACTCTATTTTTGCTATTCCTCTTACAAATTCTGTCCAGTATCGGCTCAGACTAGCATACTAATCATAGGCAGTTCTTTGTAATGTAGCTTTGGGTTAACTGGTAAACTTTAAGCAATGTTAATGGCTAAGCTACCTTAGCATGCAAATTTTTATGCATAGTAGTAACTAATACTTGTGTGTTCATTCTCACCTTAAAAGATTTCCTCTGCATCAGGTCAAGCCTGTCTTCTAGGTGGCAACCCTCTCAGACAGCGAGGTTATTATCCGATTATTAAATTGCAAGATCAATGTGAATAAAATTTCACTCACCAGCTAAAGATTTCGACACTGTGTTTAAAGTCTGAATGCCTTGTTTAATGTAATGTCAATAGATGAGATCCAAGCAGTCAGTATTTGTTGAATGTGTCTTTTAATATCAGTTCTATTACTGATACTCTGTTTTTAATCAAAAACAAAAATATAACATTGCTATGATGAAACAATAAAGCGGATTCTCTCTGCTGAACTGCTGCTTAAATCTTTAAAAAAAGCAGCGGTGGTTATCACCTGTTCTAAATCTCACTGAAAAACTTGGAAGTACAAATTTAGCACATGTATAAACCCCTTTATAATTAGTGGCTTTAACTAAAAGAGCCTGTTTTCTTTTTACTGCAAATTAGAATTGCTGTGGTAGTCAGCGTTATTGATTTTACAGTGTTCGGACATACACCAATTACATTTCTTGCACACTGCCCGCACCGTCAAAAGCAAAAGCACCTATTTGGCATTATTTTTGTGGTTAATATAAGTCAGTTTGTCTTATTGTTGTGATTTTTAATTAAACAATAATAAACCACAAGCTAGGCATATGTTTTAAAGTAAGTGGAAAATAACTTTCATTTGTTAGTGTTACAACACTGGTATATACAGAGACACTCCCATTACATGCAGGAAAATATATATTGTTGCCATGAATTATTCATTCCCTTGTTTGAATTAAATTGTGGCCATGAATTAGGAATTTGTTCCCTCATTTTATTAGGGAACATAGGAGTAATAATGTTTAAAAGCATTACTAATCTTTTTTTGAATCCTATTTTGAATATGCACGTTTATGATAAATGGCCAATTGAATGGAATGACTGCTCGTATAACAAATTATATGAAGTGAACCCAGTACTAAATCAAAGAGTTAACTGTTATTATTTTGAAAATAGATGTGACCAGGGCGGTATTCCAGAAAGCAGGTTATGTAAGCGGATAAACTATGCTTTCGGTTCCAAAAACGGAGGTAACTTTCAGAGTATGTAAGTAGCCATAGCAACTTACTCTCTGAACATAACCTGCGCCGGAGTAGGTTCTGTTTCAGAGTTAGCTTACTTCAGTGCTATCAGCGCATGCATGACCTACTGACCAGAGTCCAGTGGGCGTAACAGATTGCGCACAATTTTATACATTTTTACAATATAGTTATGTAATATACTATATATATATATATATATATATATAGATAGATAGATATAGATAGATAGATTTAAAACACTATTATGACAAGGTAATGTTTAATTTATTATATTTTATATTTATTTCATTTTATATTATCATCTCTCATCATCATGGATCGCCATTTTCTATAATTTATTTATATAATAAAAATACATATGTGATATGATATATTATTAGCATCAAACAAACAATATAATTCTTATTCTCAAGGATTAAATATTAAACAGAAAAAAGAAAAATGATTGCACAACCACCAGTTAGGTGGCCATATGAACCAAGTATGTAAACGGCCTTTGAACAGAAGAAGAAGAAAGAAGTAGTATGGCGCGCTTTTTCTTAGCATCCGTTTCCATAGTGACTCGATTCATTGCCCTGTTGAGAATGTCTTGCGTGTTAACCAGGAACTTACTCTGGGTTGAATTAACTTTCTCCCGGATGCGTTTTTGGAACCAACATACCTCAAGTAAGCAAGGTTTGGGTTAATCAACCGAGAGTTCAGGGTTTAGCAGATGGTAAGTTAACCTTGCTTTCTGGAATACACCCCAGGTTGTGTAGAATGTAGAATGATGTAGAATAGGTCACACGAGGCTCTCATTCATATTTATTGAAAGGGGAAGAAAAAACATTTTGTGATTTATGTGAGAATCTTTTGAGTATAAAACATATTTTAGTAGAATGTTTAAATGATACTAGACAACGTTTTAATTCAGAAAATGTATTAATGGACATTTTTAAAAAGGCATCTCTTGAAATAATTTTAGAATTTTTAGTCATAGTAAATTGAAAGACTCTATATAATTATTATTGCTATTTTGGATATTATTATTTTAGTTTGTATTTTTAGGTATTTGTTTTTATTTATTTTTTTGTATGTTGACTTTTTTTAAACAAAACTGTTAAATTATTGTAAACATTATATTGAAACGATATTGATTTAATTGGTTGAATGATGCAATTGAATTGTTTTTGCCATGAATATAGCCATTGCTGTTGACATGGCATTAAATCATAAATAAAATAAAACTAATCTTTATTTTCTGATTTTGTGTTTATATCTTTTCAGGAAGTATGTCAAAAATTACTGAAAAACCTCCATAAATACCACAAGAATTACTATCCCATTCTACAGTGTCTGCACTCTTTGACCTCATCACTGCCTAAGTTTCCTCTAGGAAAGCATGTAAGTACACCTTTTGATAACCCTATTTTACACTGTCCTTGTTACATGTATTTATTATAGTAATAACAGTAAATTGTGCATGATTCTATGCAACTAACCGTAAACCAAACCCTATAATCATAACTCTATAGAAAGTGCATGGTTTTCAATTAATATTGCTGGTAACACTTTGTTTTAAGGTGTCCTTGTTACGCGTTACATGTACTTACTATTATAATAACAATAAATTATGCATAATTACATGCAAGTAGCCCTAAGACAAACCCTGTACATGTAGTTAATTATTGTTATTACCGAGTACTTAAATGTATAATTGTGACAACCTTAAATTAAAACATAACCAGCCTTTTCAAAGCTAAGTCTTTTGTATATTTATTAAATAACAATCCCTTATAGTTAAGGAAATTGTAACTTCTCTGTGTGATTGTGGGGAGAAGCGATTAGTCTGCAGAAGAGACGGCAGCGCGTGAGTGTTTTGCTTAATACTTTGTTTGTGGATCTGTTGTTTAAATTATTACTTGCTGCTAGGAAGGAATTTTTTTTTTTTCTACCTATTTCTACTTGTTTTTTCGTTGTAGTTTGTATTTTTAAATGCACTTACTTGTAACTATAATAATACAGTTGGGTTGAGTATTTCCAATTGTTTGAAATGAGCAGACCAGTGCCCCCACCCCGCCCAACCTGACGGAGGGTGTGAGAGGATGCAGCGGCAAGACTGGTCTTCAACGAGCCCATGTTACACCTCTCTTTATCTCCTTGCACTGGCTGCCGGTTGAGGCTCGCATCAAGTTCAAGACATTGATGCTTGCATATAGAACAGCCACAGGCTCAGCACCCGCCTACTTCCACTCACTACTACGAATCTACATCCGCTTCAGAAATCTGAGATCCGCTAGTGAGCGACGCCTCGTGGTACCATCACAGAGAGGCACAAAATCACTTTCCAGAACATTCTCGTTCACCGTTCCTGGCTGGTGGAATGATCTTCCCACCCCTATCCGGAATGCTGAATCCCTGACAATTTTCAAGCGACAACTGAAAACTCATCTCTTTCGATGCTACTTCACTTCATCCTAAAAAAAAAAATCTTTCTCTTTCTTTATTCCTTCCCTTTCTAGCTTGTAATTATTTGAACAATGCCTGAAACTTGGTATTATCGAGCACTTCCTGTGTCTGTTTGCCTTTTTAAGAAGAATCGCTTAATGTATTCCCCAATTGTAAGTCGCTTTGGATAAAAGCGTCTGCAAAATTACTAAATGTAATGAATGTGGGACTCTTAACGGGAAACCCTAAACAAACATGCACAGCACAAAAACTCACTGAAGCTTATAGAAACATAGTGCTTTAAAACCATTCAGGTACTTCATTGCCATTCTCAAATCAACTCCTGTGGCCTTATGGAGTGATAAAGTGTCCCCTTAAGAATTTCGCCAGAAGTAGTTGGTCATCTTGGTACGGCTGACGGCTGGCTTTTTTTGTATTGCTTAGTTATTTGCATAAAGGTAAACTTTGTGTCACACTGCCGGAAACACACATTGACAAAGCAGCATGAATGCATGATTTTCAGTGGAAAGCTGGCGACTACCGGCAACACAAGTGAGCGTGACTTGCTGGCGACAAGACGTAGGCATGACCAGTGACTTGAGAAAGTTGACAAATGTTTAACTTTATACAATCGAAGATGCATATTCATTTAAAATGAGTGGGATTATGCCGCTGTGTGAAACTTTGTTAGTTTTGATCATTGATATCGATTTTTTTTCACTGTATTTACAGTTACATAATGGTCAGTGTTTAATGCTCAGCACATATGAAACTGTTATTGTGCTTATAGATACGAGAACTCCATGTATCCTGCATTGAGAAGAATTTGTGGGAGACGGAGGAATATGACTCAGCCTTGCAGCTTCTGAGGTAACTTAGTCTACTGTCTGGTCAGAAATAAATAAATATATTTCAGTGCCACTCTTCACTCTTAGTTCGTATTTCTTTGCAGGATTCTAGCAAAAGATGAGCTTGTTGCAGCTTTACGGAAGTGTGCTGAAATTCTTAAATCTGCCAGTACCAAGAGAATGCAAAATGTTCTGCAACAATTGGAAGATTTTATTGGCAGATTGGAAGCACTGGAGGGTAAGTCAGACAGAGTATGTGTTCCAAGTTGTTGTTTTGTAGATAGGAAAAATTAGATCGTCACTGTTTGTATTTCCATCCAGTGTGTTCAAGAGAACACTTCTGGAGAACCTGGTTAAGAATATGAAGTCAGCAGCAGAAATGTATTCAGAAAACATGTTTCCATGGAAGTTTATGCACAATTTCTTACTGAATAAAACATTTATTCAGCTCAGACAACTCTGTTTTTATGTGCATTTTTGTGTTTAAGACACAAAAGATGCTTTCACATGTATGTGCACTGTATTATCAGCATATTTTCAACTCTAGTATAGTGTGTGTAGTATATATGTGGCAACGTTAGTAAGCAGCTCAGCTTTTTCTTGCCAGCTGATGAACATTAAAAACATAGACAGCTAATCAGAATCCATGCTGTTTTAAGCAGCAGAGAACATATCTGCAGTGCACGCTTATAATAATCAGAACATATTCATTGGTATTATTATCGTTATGGTATTGAGTAGAGATAAATCTTTCTTAAAATGATAGTGTTACAATAAATTAGTTTTTGCCTCAAAGTTGGTGGGCATGGCCATGTCTTTCACCGGGGGAGCATATTTTATATTTTCTGAATGTGATTTTTGCCTGAATCTGTTTTCTGCATTATAATGTAGAAAACAATTTGGGGTAATGTTTTACTGTAATAACAGGGGATGCAATAATGCACTTTTATTTCCTTTAGTTGTTAAAGATTGTAAAAATTGAATTTACCTTTTATGCTACAATTGGTTAATTTAGAATTGTTCATAATGTTTATAATTATTTATCATTTGTAATAATTTGCATTCAAAAATTAATGACTAGATGCACAATAACCTTAGTAATACATTGCTTTACCTATCAGGTGTCTCTTCAGAAGATTCCTCTGGAAATGGCGTCCTCTCGGGAAAAATGAAATATCAGAGAACAGATCTCTTTCAGCTTCAAAAGGCATAGTATTTGTTGTCTTGCTTGGCTAATTTGGATTTTGTTTACCACAGATATGTATTATGAATATTTTGAGAGTGTAGGGAGGCCAAGTCAATTGTCATTTGCGGTGATTCATGGGAGTGGGTGGAGCTAAAGAGTGCTTTAGTTTGTTTTGCTTGATTCAGCTTTGTGATTGGTGGAATTTTTTGAACAGCATCATGAGTAATGTAGTTTTTCACCCCAAATTCCTCCGTTAAAGATGATTATATTAATGTTGATGGTGGTTTGCTTTTATCATTACTTCAGCAAGTGCATAACGTCCAGTGTTTTAAAATCTGATCAGTTTTCAAAAGTTGTGTTGTGTATTCCAGTCTTTAAGAATCCAAAGATGCTGTTGTTTCTTTTCAAAGTTTTATTTTGTCATTGCAAAATAATTATATTAATGATTATATAAACAACAGCTATACCTAGTATTGTAAAACTTCAGAACTAGGCAGTGTTAATGTAGTATACTAGCAATTCAACTAGCTGGAACATCTACTAACAAGAAATGTTTAGCAACACCAAGCAACAAGCCTGCAATGCCTAGTAGTGTTGGGCGATATACTCAATTGTCTTAGCATCCTATCAGCCTGTGAGATTGCTGATAATTTTTATAAATAATTTACTTAGTTTCATTGCCGGAAAGTGAACAAACTCCAGAGTAAGGCTAAAAGCAGCTTAATCTTTTTAATATGACTGAATTTGTATTTAACATGATAACAATTTAATAGAAACATTGCAAGTTACAAATTATAATGCTTACATTTCCTCACTTATTCAAACAGCAGCTACAGAAAACGAGCAAAGAACATTTAAACACTTTGTTGTTTATGATGAGAGAATTCACAAGAGAGCTGAATTCAGGTAGCGAGTGCGCACAATGAACAACAAAACTCCGCTGTTTCAGCGATGACTCATCTGAACGCCTCTGATTGGCCACTGCATTCATAAACTCAGCGGAATCGTATGTGATTGATTATATAACGTGCAACACTGTAAAAACGCGTAAAAAGTAAGCCTTTATATTAATTAGATAGTATTACCAACCCGATAATAATATTAATCGTCTTGATATCTCTGACTATCGTCAATACACAATACTATCGTCTATCGACACAACCCTAATGCCTAGCAAGATAACTTGCATTGCCTTCAATAGTACATTTTACACTGGATGTGGCACAATGCGTCACAGACACAAGACAGTAAATATATGCCTCATTATTTCTGATGTACTCCATATGATTGTGCTATGTTCACCAACAGGACAAATGGATTTGGAATGTTCACTTTGACACATCTAATGTAGACTGCCTCAAATGGCAACACAACATGGTATTGACATTTTTATCAAGAATTCACTAGTATATTATGTACCGACTACTGAAATTTTGGTATTGTACACACTAAGTACTAGATTATCGGACCATACTATAAATGAAGTACTCTGGTTTCAGCTTTGGAAAAATAACATTGGTGGATTTAAAATTAACAATGGCCATGATTCTGTGCGCAGACTCTGCTTGAAAAAGAGTCCAGAAGAACAAAGAGAATGAATCCATTCGAAGTGCTTCGAAGTCAGGTGATGGAGTTTATTGACAGCCTTGTGAGGTGAGTAGACAACGTTATGAGCAAGGTGTGCTTAAGTACTTGCTTCTCTCACAAAATCCTTTATGCAGTATAAGATTTCTGGTTCTCTCTTCAGAGAATACTTGACTCCAGCAGAACTCCAGCCACTCAATGAAGTGTGCTACTACAGTTCCTCTGGGGTCCTGAGACAGCGACTCAATGTCACCCCACGGACATCCATTCAAGCTGCTCTCAGTCATCCTTTCTACTATTTGCAGGTAACTGACCACTCATTTTGACTAATCAGGGTATTCAGTTGAGGTATTCAAATCAAATTCAAAGAGACACGGTATATACAATTCTTCACTTTTTCATGAGCCAATATGTTGCATTGCAGAGCTTCCCAAACTCAAGCATAAAGCCCTCCCCCCTCCAAAAAAAAGTCAGCCAAAGCTGTTTTTGTGAATAGCTCCTTATGGATTTGAATTTTTAGCTGAACAGACATAAGTGTAAGGCTAAGGTAGATTCAACACTCATCACATTTCTGTGTGTATTGTATACACATGCAGCCAGAACTGCTTTTCAGGGATGAATTCGGTCTAAAGGGTTGCTCGCACTGACAATATTTCCAGGTACACAAGCTTCTGAGAATATTGGAGATGCAAAATTTGAGTTTCAACAACCAGTCTGAATGCGGCATCTGATACAGTAAATGCTGCAGCAAGAGTGGGAAAGCCTACTAGATACAAATAGCACACTAATAGCAACAATAACTTGCCAACCTCCAAAGATTTAATGTTGATAGAAGAGGCAGCTTGTCCAGACTGTTTGGACTGAGGTGGCCCATGTGGGACACGGACTCATTTTCATCAACAAAGGGTGGCATGGGGCATAAATCAAACATTTTGTTGGCAACAAATTTATCAGCTGAAATTGGATATTACTTTGTATCCAGAGGTATAAACCAAATATTTAATGATGTAAAGGGGATCTTTTACTCACCCTTACTAGGGCTGTCAAAAAAAGTTCGAATTTCGAATATTCGTTAAATTTAAAATAAAAACCCACATTCGAATACAAAAACGTTGCATTCGAATTTTAGGTGTGCGTCAGGCTGCCTTATCAGTGGCGCACGAGATGCCATCACGATGTAGGTGCCGTTGCATTGTAATGTTTTTCATAGCTTATCCAGTTAGCTCCAGCTTATCGCTGCTACGTTGTTCATTCAAAATATTGCAGAAAAAGAGAACAACAGTGCGGAGAAGATCTTGTTTACGTCAAAACTGAACCAAGCCATTCACACAGAAAGCATATTTATCGCATTTTCTAGAGGGACATCTATCACCGTTGCACTCGCGTTCTCGCACAAGAGACGCATGTTTAGAAAGCCATGTAAAATTAATGTAAGTTCAACTTTTCAAAAACATGTCTCAAGACTTTATGGCGGTTTTTCCCATCCCACTGCATCTCAAGTAACGTATTTGAATGAAAAAGTACTCATTCAGTGATTGGTTTTCAGTCCTTTGTATTAAACTATGCATACATACATGATGCTATTTTGTTTCTAATTGTTTAAGCAAATTAATTAATTATGGTTTATAAACATTACTTTAAACATTATGCACTTTTTTCAAAGGTAGTCGTGTTATTTTATTGAAAATTTTGTAAAAATGCCTTTTAAATTCGAATATTTAAGTACAAAATTCAAATTTAGTTTTTCCAGCCATTTTGACAGCCATAACCCTTACATGGTTTCAAAACTTTGTATTTTTTGTGTTAGACAACAGAAGATATTTTGATGAATGTTTAAAACCAAATAATATTTGAGCTCACTGACATTTCTTCAAAATATTATTGTGAATGTAGCGTTAACAGTGATAATTTTAGCTTGTAATCTTGGTGCATGGCACCTGTGTCATCTTTTTTTTTTTTTTTTTTTGTCCTACCAAAAATGTGCCTGGAGTCCACCTTTGTTATTGCAACAAACTACACTTTTAATGTGATTTTAAACCATTCAAGTCAAGAAGACTTGTGCTGTTTTCTCTGCTGCACACACATGCTTGTGTAAGTGTTCTTTAGCCTGTTGATTTTCATTCATAGTATTTAGCTAACTATGAAATATTTTGCAATAAGATGATATCTTGAAGATTTTTAATTAATTCATTTATTATTATTTCTTTTTTTTTACCTTATTGGAATCGAAATTAGGAATTGACAAGAATTAGAATCGTTAATTTTTTTTTTTTTTTTGGTCAGTGCTGCTAAGTATCATGCAAAGGCTGTTTAACCATTTGTGATGTTTGTTCTCTTCTATAGTGCCTTAAAATATAAAAGTCTTTATAGAAATCAGTTGGGTCAGATATGTTTGTGGTCTCTGTGACAGTTTGCCAGCCTCAGTTGCCCCAATGGAAAGCATATTTACACTGTCTGAATTGCTCCCTGTTACCTATATAATGCACATTGTGTCATTCACCATATGGAAAATAGTAAATGCGTGAACAAGTGATCGTTTTCAGATGAAGCTTTAGCATCTTTTTGTAATGTAAGGGTCGTGACGCTTCAGATACTGGAGAGCATTTCACTGGGCAGAATATCTGATGAGAAACTGAAGTGCAGAATGCTCTCATCAAAGTTTCTGATCGGTATAGAAGGTTGAGAGAGACTACATTTTGAGCACGCATACCTTCTAAATGTAAATTGTGTCATTGTTTAGGGGCACATTAGCTTATAGATAACCTTAAGGCCAACATACATACAGCTTTCAACCTTCAATTTTGATTTTGTGAGGACTTGAAAACACAGATTGAGTGATGCCTTTGGAAGTCTGCCCAAATCAATGTATTAAAGGGAAAGTTTACCCAAAAATAATAATTGTTATCATTTACTCACCCTTGTTTATTTTCAAACCTGCATGACTGACTTTCTACTGTGGAACATGAAAGATCTTTTGAGAAAAATTCTCAGTGTTTTTCCTCCTCCATGCAATGAAAGTATTGTTTAGTGTCCAGCATTCCTCACATACTCTATAGTGGTCTATTCGTTTTGTTACCGTTCTGTTTTTGCTGCAGAATGAAAGCCTGAAAACAGACACTGGCACAATCTCCAGTGCTGCACCAGACCTCTGCATTGTATACAAGCTTCATCTTGAGTGTGGAAGACTCCTAAATCTATATGACTGGCTTGAGGTATAAACATGCTAAATCAAAATCACATGTAGAGGTGGGTTATCTTTTTCTAACAGCGTGGATTGAACCTGTCATTGTGTTTGACATTTTCAGGCATATGTAACTGTGATGTCAGCTGCTGAGGACCAAGATACTGATTCTGAGGAGTGTGGCAAATTTGACAGCCTTAAGCAGTATCCTTTTTGACTTTTTGCTCATCCTGTTTTAGTAATGAAAAAGGGTTTCTTATTTAATTGTCGACTTAATTAAAAATACTGTTACTGCATTTTTTTTAGAGGTAATGTTAAAGATAAAAAGCTTGTGACTCATAAGTGTACAAATTGGTAATTGTACACAGTTACTTAAAACTATTTTTCTAATATGTATTGTTCTTAACATTGACAGTGCTCGTTTCATTCAGGCTGTTTCAGAGATGGAATTTCTTGGTTTTGTTAAATCAACAAAACAGAAGACTGACCATGTGGCAAGACTGACTTGGGGAGGTTGTTAAAGAAATGCAAAGCATTGTTTCCTGAGCACAAGAGACTGGTCTGACATGCATGGAATAATGATGTATTTTGCACCACAACTGTATTTTGTACTGTTAGCTGTATTATACATGTTACTATTACCTTTTTTTTTTTTTTTAACATTTGTTACCGTTTTGGTTATTTGGAATAAAAATAATGTACTGTTTTAATGTCTCTGTCAAATATTTTAATTCACTAGATCTGGTAAGTTTTTATTTTATCAAACCTTAGCTATATGAGTTAAACATAAATTAGTTTTAAAAGTTTTTTTTTTTTTTTCATTTTTACAATATTTGAAAGCGACATAAGATAATATATTTTAATTCACAATTCAAAGAAATGAATGCATAATGAAATAAAGGCATAATGATCCACACTGTTACCAGTTAGTAGTAGCAATGACACCTTAAGTTTTGTCAAACACCACAGAAATTTGGAAATGGAGGGAGACTAGGAATATTGATATGCTCCCAGACAGACTATAAATGAGTGCTGATTTGAATTAAGAAAATGTTATTCCTAAATACGTTTTGCATTAGGATAGAAAAGTGAGCAATTTGATTATTACATGCTCAGAAACGATATTTTCATGTAAAAAAAAAAGTGAAAATTCACATGCTCAAGCACTTAAAAGATGCAATTAAACCATATAACCCCAGAAAGCCATATTTTTTTACGAATACACTTGGCTATGGTGGCTAAAAATAGCTGTACTCCCCTGTTAAAATGGCAGCTTTTTTAGATTTAAAAAAGTAAGTAAAATCATGTCAGGTCTTTTCCCACGTGTAATGTAAAATTGAAATCGATAGTACATAAAATCTTAAGGGGGTTGAAAAAAAAAGAAAAGAAAACACTAAAATTACTTGGCTGCAAAAACTTTTATAACGGCATGTTTGCTCTGTTTGGAATGAACAAGTCACTTAAAATCTTACTGAAAGTAATTATAATTATCTGGTAATCATTTAAGTGAATTAAAAAATAAAGTTTCTGTAGGATTTTCTTGCCATCATAACGTCTTGTCATGGCATGCCAATAGCTTACAAAGGATGTGCATGACCTAAAAAAAAAAATTTTTTTTTTTTTTAAGTCAAGGTAGAAAAAAAATTCTCAGTCAGAGCCCAGATTATTAGAAAGGCTGGTTCCAAATCTCCATGATTTAATATGATCTCTGACTGATGATGGGATGATTTGAAGAGGACGGACTACGTAGAACCTGATTTTACCAAGTGCGACAAGTTCCTGGATCAACATCTTTGTTGACCCTGGAACAACATTGTGATTAACCAATCAGGTTTGAAGAACCAGTTTATAGTTTTTGTGAAGTTTAGGCTTACAATCAGTGTTTGGTGCTTGTACATCAGTGTCATTCATCTATCATTTCCTCGGATTTTAGGGATTACTCATGGTTAAGGTTAGGTTTAGGTGTAGGGATATGGTCAAGACTACATTTTTGGATTAAAATGTTGTTCCAGGGTCAACAAAATATGTAGCAAAATCAGGACGTGCCGGACTGTCCACTAGGACTAGGTGACCAGATATTGGAAATGTACACCAGGGACATTTAGTTAAGTAGTCAAAATATCATTTAAACCTCACCTGATCTGTGAATAAAAAAAGACGTTTTTTTTTTTTAAAGTGTTTTGGGTTTCTATACTATTATAATTATTAATTGTTATGATGTTTGTGGGTCAAACGGCGTCGAACTACACATTTTCAAGGGCACCGAAACATCCCCGCCCCTTATGAACATGATTGGTTAGTTTGTTCATTGTCGGCACTGCATTGGAGGAAATAATCATAGCGTCAGGGTAACCGCCTCCGCTGTAGGAAGACATCTGCACCGGTGAGGAAAACGTGTTTCCTGTTTGTGTCGCGTTTTAGCCTAAAACAGTTTTGTTCTTATTGAAGATAGCCGTTTAAATATGTGGCTGAGTAAGAAGTAAAATAATAAAAACTATTTTCTAAGCGCATTAAATGTGTTAAACAGACAGAGTAATAATGTTGTGTTGTTTATTAGCATGTCGCAGTCTTCACTGCTTATAGAATGATGCTAACATATACAGTCTTTATTATAAATCTCTCCACTAAGGGATGTGTGTCTTAACTTAAATACAATTAAGTTGTTATTCACTGTTTTATCTAAGTGCTCAGAGCCAGGGCAGATAGGAGCTGTTGTTCTATAGAAAATTACGTTGCTGAATTATATTCTATATTTTACAGTTAAATCACAAATATTTTCCTAAATTGGAAAAGTCCTGCACTCGCTATACGTTTTACCTTTAACGCTTTAAATGTCAGTTATGGTATGAAACCGACAGTTTGTTTCAAAGTAACTGCAGTTCAGACGGTTAACCACAAGGTGTTGCCCGAACATCACGAATCTCCTGTTGAGTCTCTAAATCCAGAGATTTTGGGTGGTAGACATGTGAATGCCATGTGTTATTGCAGGACTGAGGATCTGAGGATATTGTTTTTCTTCCTTATGTGTTGAAAATGTATCTTTGTACTGAGGCATTCAGAAGTGTGATTACACTGAAAATCTGGGATATTTTAATTTATTTAAAGTAAACAGGAATATTTTAAAAGATTTATTTTAAACGGGCAAGTAATTGAAAGACACTTATGTTTTTTCAGTTGTATTTTTAACTGAAGGGAGATGGCAGCTACACAGAAACTGGCCTGTTTTCGGTTACCTCCTCTGCCTACCATAAAGGAGATTATCAAGCTGTATAATCTGAGAGCAGAGAAACAGCTTTCTCAGAACTTCCTCCTAGACATGAGACTCGCAGGTCAGTCCAACTGTTGCTCACTCCCTTTCGAAACGCGTTAACAAGACTTCATAGATTTCAATAAAGTAGCACACTGTTTATGTGTGTGTTTGTGTAATGTGGGTGTGAAATGTAAACAGCAACTTTAAACAAAATGCTTATGGATTTCAGATAAGATTGTCCGGCAGGCGGGGAACCTGAAGGATGCGCATGTGTGTGAGGTGGGACCTGGACCCGGGGGCCTCACCAGGTCTATTCTGAAAGCTGGAGCAGCAGATTTATTAGTGGTGGAGAAGGACACACGCTTTATTCCAGGATTACAGGTTTACAAATAAATCCATGTATTCTATAGAGCGATGAATTGGCCATTTCAAATATTTGACTATTTTGAGATTATTGACCGATAGCTGCTAGACTGGCAAGCAAAGGTGTTTATTCCACTTACTGTCATTTTCAAAATCTATAAACCGGCCAATCAATGAATACTGCACTTTTTCTGTTTTCAAATAATTTTTAGTGAATTTTAAAGGAATGTAGTGTAAAATAAGTGGTAATATTACATTTGTGCTAACATTAACTTTCATTACATATAGTGGTATCACTCTATCCACTGGCCACCCTGCTTGTTAAATATTGGTATCGGCAGTGGTTTTTAAACAAAAAAAGAATAAATGCTCTGTATAAAAATGCTGAATACAATTTCACCTATATTAGACTCCCAGGTACTTTATAATGACACCTGGTTGTGTGGATACAGCTGCTTTACACAAAAGCAAATGTTTTTAGTTGCTAGTGCCTGATATCCAACAAACACTATAGGTCAAAAGATTTTTTTATGTTTTTGAAAGAAGTCTCTTATGCTCACCAAGGCTGCATTCTTTTAAATTAAAGATGCAGTTAAAAACTAATATTGCGAAATATTACAATTTAAAAATAATTGTTTTTATTTTTATTTAAATATATTTTAAAATGTAATTTTAAAAACTAGATTAGCTGAAAATTAGCTATTTTCATTTCTAATTCGTAATAATATTTCAAAATATTGTGAGCCTTGGTGAGCATTTACCAAGAGACGTCCTTCAAAAACGTAAAAAAAACAAAAAAACACTTAAATTCTAATCTACTATGTGAAATTATTTGTAGGAGCATAAAAAGATTTAACAATTGATAAATAAAGTGAACAAATTTCACAGACATTTGACAAATGGAATGATGAGAGCGGGGCTCAATATCAAAAGTAGCAGTCAGTGTGTGGTGTGACCACCAGCTGCTTTTAGTACTACAGTGCATCTCATCTGAATGGACTGAGAAAGATTAGCCCGTTCTTGCTGTGAGATGTTACTTCACTCTTCCACCAAGGCACTTGTAAGTTCTCGTATGCTATATTTTTGTCAGAATTAGCTTTAGCTTTATTTGCACACAAGGAATTTGTTTTGGTTTTTAAGGAGCTCTTGGTGCATACATACATATATGACCTGAGAACAGAAAGAACATTTAAATAAGACTAAAGAAAAAAAATATTATAATGTGGTATGAATCTGGAACAGAAGAATTATGTATGTATATGTGTGTGCTTGTCTGTTTCTAATTTTATATCATATAATTAGGCTGAGTAAGCATGTATATTGAAGTATTTGGGTCTTCTTTTTTTTGTTCAGCTCTTGTCTGAGGCTGCTCCTGGAAAAATGAGGATAGCACATGGAGATATTCTCACATACAGACTGGAGAGAGGGTTCCCAGCCCACATAGCTAAGACATGGGAAGACGGTAAACATTATGATCTCAAACACAGTTCAATAAATTAGTACTTCGCTATGGAATGAGTTATTTTATTTCACCCTCGACAAATACGAGCAAAACACACTGTGGAAAAATGTCTTTGCTGTTTATCCTCTTTGTCACTAGTACTTTGGATACTAGTGGATATTAGTGGAAGTAGAGACTTATTTTTCTGAAAAGAAATTTGTGACACAATTATTGGCACCTCTTCATTCAATTTATTGTGCAACTTATCTTTGTCTAGATAACTTTGAATGTAGGCACTTGAGCCTATATAGTGACCTCATATTTATACCGCACTGAAAGTCATGTCTTACCACTTCCTGTAAGTTTTCCCACTCACTCAGGGTGAATCACTCAACTTAGAAACTTTTTTTTAGAGATTTACTCCTGAGAGTTTCTAGGGTTGCCAATAATTTAGAGATATTTTTTAAGACAACAAATATTTATTTATTTTAAGTGAAAGTGAAGTGAAAGTGACGTGTGGCCAAATATGGTGACCCATATGTGTATATATTAATAAATACATTAAAATAATTTGTTGGACAAGTCTAATTAAATAT